AAGGGAGGTGAGAGATTGGATGAAAATTATCCTGAATGGTTGGTCCAGTGACAGCTTTTTGAGGAGAGGGTGAACCAGTGCCTCTTTAAAAGGAGCCAGAAACACCCCCTCCTATGTCTGCTAAAGATCCTGCTAAGAGTTGCTGAAATAGGGATTTAAAGCACTGCTGCTGATACAACTACAGTGGTACCTCGGTTCACGAACTTAATTCGTTCCACGATTCGGTCGCGAACCAAATTGGTCATGAACTGAAACAAATTTCCCCATAAGGTTCAATGTAAATAAGGTTAATCCGTTCTGAACCATATGTATTTTTTTTTAACCACAAAAATATGAAACAAAGTACCGTAGTTAATCCGTTCTGAACCATATGTATTTTTTTTTAACCACAAAAATATGAAACAAAGTACCGTACAGCACAGAATGAAGAGAGAGAACACTAACCTTGCTTGAGGCAACACCAAAAAGCTTCACAGCAAGTGTCTGTCTGCGACCGCGATCTCGCCTAGAGGAAGCCATGACCATCTGTCAGAGCAGTGAAGATGGCCGCGGGTCGTGTTCATCACCCAATGCGGAGTTCGTGAACAGAAGCAAAATTTTGCGAATGCTGCTGTTCGCGAACTGAATTGTTCGTGAACAGAAGCGTTCGTGAACCGAGGTATTACTGTACCTGCCTCCACTATGATTACCAGAAGCCCACATCCACTACTGCTGTACTCCAGCAGAGTGATGTGCATTTGCATCACAGTCCAGCTGAAAAAAAAAGTACTACCGCAACATTACCAGTGAAGCTACTTTGCCATGTTAGTGCTGGATCTTATCATTCCCCCAGAAGAAACTTGCAGCAGCTCCTATGAACCATTAGGTATGGGAACATACTCATATTTCATTTTAAACAATCAATCATAGAGATAGCTGACTGTCGTTCATCATGCATTTTCAGAATTTGCCACTGTATTATGTTTCATATACCAGCCAAATGCCAAAGGAACATGTGTGCATGATAATAGTTAGTTCTAGAAATGTACAAAATAGTGAAGCACATGAAGTCAAAAGCATACACAGAAACAATCCATAGAGAAAAAGTCCACGAAATTTTAGCCAGGACAGCAGAATTATTCACCATGACAGCTGGAAAAATTTGAGAGCAAAATACACACTTTCAAGAACTGAGCCACAAAGATGCAACATATATGTGAGCTTCTCTTTTGACTTTGCAGTATATCCATACACATACAGGTGTCTTTTCATCTTTCCTAATTTCCTATTTGCCTCCCTCCCTCCATCAGGTACTGACTCTTCAAATGATTTCAGACAGAATCCAAGAGAGATAGGTGATCACTTTCAAATTTATTTTAAAACTGAAGCTCAATTAATAAGTGACATTGCAAAGAATGCAAGTGATTATCTAGAAATTAAGGGCTATGCAAGAAAGTGAGACAAATGAAGTGATTTTTTTCAAAATTGTTTTGATTTTATCTTAATTTGAGATTCCAATTGTTTCTGACATGTACTTCAGCCAAAACCTACGTGGCCTCTGAATCTGTGAAACCATACGTCATTTTTTTTCAGGCTCCTAATAGAAAGGAAGCTTCTTGGTAACAAGTGATTTGATTCAGAATGCTGAAGGCCAGAGCTATCCAGAAGAAAAGTAGAGACCTTTTAATTTTTTTTCTGTTTTCCTAAAAATGGGATTTGTCTTCCCAGCCACCCCAAACTAAAGAAGTGGGTGCTGATTATGCACACACCAACTTTCACTCAGTAGGGTCATCACTGAGCAGGAGGACACGCATCTTATTTACAAAAGATCGCAGATTCCACCCTTGCTAGCCCTATTTTTCTCTTTAAAAAGTAGAATGACTGAGGAAAGACTTGAGGCTGAGACCTTGAAAAAACAGTGTCTGTCTTCATTGAAAATTGTGAATGTTTATGCCTGAGTCTCCTTCGTCTCCTTTTGAAGCAAGCTGTATTTTTCACTTGACTGTGTCAAATATTTTACGGGTTCTTGAGAACTGCCCATGAAAGCTGAAATTGGGAAGTGTCGTATCTTTTGCTCTTGCACTTTATCAATATTATTCAGGGACTGACGTCATTGTTTGGGGCTATATCACTTCAACTTTAATAACAGGCTGGAGCCTTCCTTGTCTGCCTGTGTAAGCTGGATAAACACAGAGTGGTGTGGTTTTTTCTCATCTCAGGATACTTACCCAGAGATCACAGAATCTGCTGTTATTGGGAAGTAAACATTTCACTTTTCTTTTTGCCCATGTGCCAGAAACCCATTTCTTGAATAAACACTTCACACATTGTCAGTCTTAAAGTCATTAAATATGATAAATAAATAAAAAAGTATACAACCTTTCAGAAACGATTAAACATCTCACTTCTGACAAATGAACAGCCAGACACTTTATAGAATCCGCAGGTCAGACGTACCGTTTCATTATGTGTGAAAGATTAATTTTCCATTTCAGCTCATCTGATAAACAATTAGATTTTTCTAGAAGCATTGTGCTTAAAACAGTATTCACTTGAAGAACTTTTCAGATATTTCACTTTCTTCCATGACTGCTCGGCTTCACAATGCCATAGAGAGGCAGCGTTGTAAAACCATTTTTCCATTTCAAACAATGAATCAATGTTTCCTTGTCATTCTAAGACATGTAATCATGGCATAGACACTCTGGGGCACATAGTCACTTCAAAAAGAAAAATCCAACCACATTAAATCACATTAATTGTGCTTCAGCTAATCCATCACTGCAACTAGCAGTAACTCGTCTATTCACCCAGTGCCTGACTATTTTACCCATGATTAGCAGAACGCAACTAATCTGTTATTTATTTAGTTTTCTGAGCTCTCCTCTCACCCTCCACCCCAAAAGTGTCTTTGACATTGACATAGTTTGAACGGTAAATAAAACTTTGATAGTATATATACCCTAGAGGAAGAAAAAAGCAATCCAGTTTATCATGGCAATATAAAGAAGTATTTTGTTACACTACATATTTCCAGAAATTTTAGTAACATGTGAAGAAAATTATTATACAAACCGATTGGCTAGCAATATTAAATGCTAAACATTTCAGAAAGGTCATACACACAAGGCAACCTAAAGACTTAGATAATTGTATTTAGAAAAATACATAATGCAATGACATGCCTTTTGCTTTGCAATCCCTGGCAGATTTTTATCTCTAAATGTTTAGGTGACACATATGTATATTACAGGATGGAATCCATTGGTATGCTTCTGTGAATTAGTTTCCACAGAGAAATAATTCTTCAAAATCTGCTTTAGAAGGTCCCCAACTACCCGAAATAAATTAGGAGAGTATGGGTCCGAAGAAGGGAGCTGGGGAAATCCTGTTATGTATTTAGATGTTGATCAGCATAACACTGGATTTATCACAGAGTTCAGTAAGATAATATTCTAAAGTATTTAGAAAATTACAGCATAATTGTCATGCTGTTCTTGTCAGTAGTATGGTTTTAGCAAAAAAAAAAAAAAAAAAAATGCAAAGGAGATGGTTAGAGATAGAAAACCAAAACCAACCTCCTCCTTCATGGTTACTAAACAACAACAAAACACTGGCAGAGTGGAGACCAAAACACAGTCTTTGAAAACTGTCCATCTAAAGATGTTTTAAGGAGTTCTTAAACATTACTGCAACAGTTTTATAAATACAGTAACTGAAATGTCCTCATATAAAAAAAGGAAGCTAGATCTCTCTTCCTCCTTCCTTTAGTGTATTCTAAAAATCAGTTCTCATTACACATGGGAGGTATGCCTTTCAAAGTACAACTGTATATCTACAGAACTGTGACTGTAATCAATCAAGGATATAAGGATTCAAAGTCTTTACATGGCCCATGTCTTTCAAGACTGCACAGTTCCTTCCTTGTGCCTCCTAGTGGAATTCTTCTAAGTAAGGCGTTTTAAGTAATTTGCAGAGTTTAAAAATTATTTGTATTGTCTGCCCAATAAATGAAGACTTAAATTATAGATATAGATATAGATATAGATATAGATATAGAGCCCCCTCCCCTTTTTCATATAGTGAGGAGGAGACTAAGGCAAGCACTCAGATGTTTAAATTACTAATGAATATGTAGCCATTTATGGAAAATAACAGGTATAACAAGAGCAAATTCAAAGCCATTTCACTTACTGAAATATTCTTAGTCTAACTAGGATATTTGTAATAGGAATACATTCCTTTTTTTCCCTAAGGATGTTCCCTAGTGTTCCTAATGTTTCTAGAATCTGTTTGGACTTAAGCAGTAGATAATTGCATATATGAATACATAATTTTGTAAAGCCATGATTTAAAACTTGGCAGCTCTGTCATTTCCATTGGATTTGGAAAACGTGAATTTTAAGAATTGGCTTTAATAGCATGGAAATTTCTAAAAAATTTCCATTGCTATTAAAACCAATTCTTAAAGTAAGCCACATTACTAAGGAAATTGCAAAAAGGAAGAGAAAAGAAACCAGAAATTGTGCAATAACAACTAAAAAGTCTTCAAAGTCTCAGATCTTGTTAATGCTTACATCATTACTGAATTAGACAGAAAGCACTGGCTTCTTTGCAAACTTAATTTGACACATTAAAGCAATGTTTAATTTTCAGCATGATTAATAATTTAATACCATCCTTTTTTCCCCTTTCCTTTGTATGTAGTGGGGAGCTTAAAAATATAGAATAAGAGTAATGTGCATCTGTTTTCAGTCTGAATAAAAATTCCCACAATTTCAAGCAAACAACCACTTTATTTGAATTATTTCTGTGGTGCTGTAGTAATTTCAGGAAAAGCCTAAAGCTTCTAACTTTAATAATATATGAGAGAATTGGCTTGATTAAATTGCAAAGATGTCAAGTAAATTATGATTACATGATAGCAACTTGCCCTTTAAGATTTCTTTCATTACTTAGGACAACAGATAACTATTTTAGTACCAATGGAAATCTTTTCATATTGAACTTGTTCATCTCACCTTTTGTGCGTCTCTGCCAGAGATTTCTCTTCCATCTCATGGTCAATTTTAGCTAAATAACAAACAGAAAATAAAAGTTATATATAAAATATAGAATGTTGCAGTAATGTCCTTAAATATGTTATAGTTGTGCATACTGTCGGGGAAAAAACACTGTCTCCGTTTTTATGCATGATTCCTGAATCGATGAGCTTGGTCTTGACTTTAAAAGAATGAAATGTAGAGGCATTACATTCAGAAGAGGTTTAAGACCAATTGAACTCACAGTAGGATTTACCATAGCTGAAGGCACTTTCATACAATGCAGTTTTCCCTCCACTGCCCCCAATTCTTTATAAACCATTTTGAAGTTGATCTTGTACTGTCTTTCATAGTCTTCAGTTCTGCCAGGCTCAGCATACTGAGAACAGACAGGGACCACCATGAGCCAATCAGTTTTTCCCCAAATTACCAGTAGATACATTTTTTTTTTTAAAGTCTCAAACTGGGTGCCTTTCCAATAAACCTCAACTTCTGGAAAAATAAAAATTCACTTGCCCCTATTCCACATGAAAGAAAAAGAAAATTGCTAATGACTGCACATTCTTCCCCCACCCCCGCATTTCAGTGTATGTTGTGGGCATCTGTGAGTATATGATACGGGGCAAAATAATCTTGCTATGAAAATTATCCTGCTGCACTTAAGCCCCTGCTAGCTATGCTGGAAGGCTGTTTGCATGACACCATTTTTGCAACCAGGCAAAATTCACCATGACTATAATAGTGCTTGAGGATTCAGCACAGTGCTGTCTCTGTGTATCTACGGAGAACAAAGTAATGGTTCACTTGACCCCAGATACAGATAAAAACAGGGGGGGAAAAAATCAAACTGGGCAGTTTTTTTTCTTTCAAATAAGGATTATGAGAATGACTAGATATTGAGTAAAAGGATTAAGATCAAGGTTGCTGAAAAATGTTGCTTAATAACCATCAAGTCTTTTTAACAGGGACTGTAAAATTGACTCAAAATTGACTACAAGCCTTCAGGTTTGGCTTGCTAATATGTTTGCCTGTATTCCTTTCATAGCAGTTAAATCGCAGTTGCATAGCAGTTAAGTTGCTGAGTAAAGGCTTACTTGTTGGGAGGCAGAGTGAAGAAAGAACGAAGCCAATAGAAAACAGATTGCTCACTAGCCCTGTAGGGTTAAAAAAAGTCCAGCTTTACTCCAGTTTCAAATAAACTGGTACAGTGGTAAAACGACACTGACTCATCTTTTGAAACAAATAATGTCATGGGAAGAGCAGGTCCCATCCAGGACCAGTACAAAGAGTGTCCGTGGAAAGGTTGAAAGAGAAAGAGGGTTGTGAGAGTAACCAAAATAGAAGTTAAAATGTCTGAATGATCTAAACAGATTAGGGCTTAGACTAAAAAGAGTAATGAAATGAAGGCTCTTATTCATTGCCATTACTTATGTACCACAATACTGAAAACTCACCAAAAATTGATTTTTTATTGAACATTGGTGCTTGGAAATTTTGGTAAGCTTGTAAAATGTACCATGTTTCCATCAAATTCATTTTCATTCTCACCCATTGGGCGGGGGGAACCACCATGCGTTTCACTGTATTTTGCTTTGCATTAATGATCTTCCTATATTTTATGATAACCATCCACTTAAAACTGAACACCTTTACACTAGTATTCCATATTTTCTGATGACAAGTCCTGATATAAGGTGAATTCTCCCTTTTTGCAAGTTATACCAATCAAAAGTTACTGTGAAACTCTGATTTATCTTTAATTACACAAGCACACATATATTCATTCAACAAAATCTGAATAGAAGCTAGACCTATCAAATCTTGACAAAAACATCTGGATATGTTGACTGCAGTTAGTGAGAATGTACTGCACATTTGCTCCAAGGGATTTGAAGAAATTATTAAACTAAGTAGGACAATAGGGCATTAGAACCATAAAAGTTCATGCAGCTACTAGACCTTCCATTAGAAGTTAAATTGTGTGTGTGTTTTTTAAATGGCTGTTCTTGAAGTGGTCTACATTATATCACCAAAAGGTTTCACACAGGTTTTTGTCCCCTAGGATTGTGCAGTGCTTAGAATTTGATCTCTGAAAGTTGCTTCAGAGCATGCTGGAGTATGCATGTAGTACTTGTCTGCAACACTTTCAAGTGACCACTCTGTTATTGATGCTATATAGAGTCTTCTTTTTCTCAAATACCAATCTTCATCTCAACACCCATCATTAGACAAAATGCTTGAGACAGAGAAATTGAAAAAGAACTACATCCACTTTTAAAAACCAAGGTTTTAAAGTAATCAGAAACTTGACCAGTTTTTTTGGGCTAAGAACAGTTGACAAGGGGTGGAGGTGAAAAGGACAAAACAGCTTTGATAATTCATGGAAACAAGATCCAAATTTCAGGTAGTCTGGATGTATGATTCCACACATTTTCATCATATTGGCTTTACTAACCATGGAGACATAGGATTTGATGAAAGGGCCCCCAATTTTCCCATTAAGTTATCCACAATAATAGTCAATGTTAAACTCAATTAAATTAAGGCTCACAAATATGCTTCTTGGGGTTGGACAGCAGGACAAACACAACATTAGCTTCACAATCATTTCATTTCATTCCAAGCCTGCAATTTAACATTAAGCCAAATTGGGCCTGGAGCCAAATAAATTTGAACTGGGTAAAACCATTACATAATTATCCTTTAAGCTAAGGCAAACCTTAAGCTAAGGCAAACTAAGGCAAACTATTCCTCAACTACAAATGCTAAACTATACCACAAAAACAGTGCATCTCCATGGCATCTAATACAGTTGTTGAAAGACTGTTTAAAAATTTCCTAGTGTAGGAAGGTACATTAGAGAATGTCTCTGCAGTATAAAATTAAGACATAAGGGAACACCCATAGTTCATTGCCAGGCTCATTTGGTTCTGAAGGAGCCACATGAAATGGCAGCAAATTTTTACATTCTTGCCTATTTTGGTGATTTATACAAACTTACACATTTAGTTTTTAATTATGAAATATGGAATGCCATTCAATTAGTTTGCTGAAACTATTAAAACATTATACCATAAAAATGAAGATTCCTGCACTAGGCAGGGGTTTGGACTAAAAGATTTCCAATGTGTCTTCCAACCCTATGATTCTAAGATACTCTAACTCTATTTTTTCCTTAGAGCATTTCATAAAATAATTTTTTTTTTCAAAAGTAAGCCTCTTGGAGATGAGGAGGGCTAGAATATGCATCTTCCAGCACTGTGAATCTCATACCAACTATTTATGATTGTGTGGGCATGCAGTAAGGGCAGAAGTGGAAATAGAGAACATGCGTAAATATTCTCCCTCTGTAGGTAAAAACTACACAAGTACTAGCAAGTCCATAATCTTGTATCAAACAATGAGAAAATATGAGCCAATGTAGATGAGTGATTGCCATCAGCAGTCCCATGGCATATCTTTTCACTCCTGAAAGAGATGGGAAGGTGACACAAAACAATGTCTAGAAAAAACTAGAGAAAAAGGAGCCAACAATTTTTGACATTCAGTGCTACATTCATGCCGTTTAGTTACTGGATCTTAACTCTAATAAAAGGCAACTGATACTAGAAGGGCATGTGATGAATAACTGTTGAAATATAGATATCTTGAAAGAAAGTATGCCTAGTATGAAGTGAAAAAATAGCAGGCAATCTCTGCACTAGAGCCAAAAGTAACTTCGCTGAATGTTCTTGGAGACCAGTCTAGACTGATTCCAGCCAAATGTTTCATTGTTGTTTCATGAGCTTGCAACTGTAAGAATGGCAATTACTTCTGAATGAAAAAGCTGTCTCATTGACTAACCTAAGAACTGGGTTCAGGAAGACACAAGGGATGGAAAAAGTGACAAATTTAATGAGAAAAAGGTTAAAGATTACTTCCTTTCTTAGCACATTATAAAGCAAGTCCACGGAAGCCAAACTCTCTAATGGAATATAAAGCATTACCCATGGTGATGAGACCAAATTCTTATTTCTACTAATGTTTTTAATTAGGTTAAGGAAATTATTACACACATCTGTTGAGAAACTTGTAAACTGTCCTGAAAAAGTTCAGGGTTTCTTTATAGCCTTCTTCAACTATGGAAAATTTAAATAGCAGAATAAAAATTCCATTATTAAAATAAAAAAGGAGAAATCAACATTCTTCTTAAATGCAAAGGTATAGAAAACATCCTGAGATGGTGCAATCTTCCAGATGAGTTTGGATTGCAACTCCCATCATTCCTGATAGTTGGCCATGCTGGCTAGAGTTGATGGGAGCTGGAATCTAATGAAGTTTGGAGTACTGTAAGTCGATATCATCTTAAGAGAAACATCCTAACTTCCCAAGGTAACTAAACATTGAACTGCGTATGAATAATCACAGATGGAATGCAGCAAGAATCTTTTTATCTCCTTGTCTTATTCTGAATCTTTCTCTATGTTTGCTAGTTTGATTTTCTCTGTCCCTTTACTAAATATAAGGAATGCTTACAAGGTAAAATTTGGCCATATTTCAAACATCTCACACTGTTAATTAAAAAAAAAATTGGTTAAGGTTTTACAGGGTGAATAATGTGAATCTTACACATTTAAACTAAGACAGCTCTTTAAATAGGAGTGTCAAAATATTGTAGATACATGTGCTTATATAGATACAGTATATGATTCATTAAAGTTCTAGCAGTTAGATATTCGGAAACTTTTCTTATTTTAATTAGGGCTCTTTATTCTTAGCACTTTAATACAACTATACTGTATTGAAAAAGAAAAAAAAAATTTAACTAGAGAAAAAATAGATTACCTTATCTGAGCTGCAAAAAAAGGTAGAAAGTGGGAATTCCTTACTACAATGTAATGATAACTCAGATACTGGAAGTCCAAATATAATAGCCCTAATTCTTCCCTACAAGGTTGTGTGTTGGGAATTAACAGGTATCTGGGAAAAAAATAATTCCAGTTCTGGCTAGATTCCTTTGGGGCAGAAGTTAAGTTTATAAAATAGATCTGTTTGTATGTGATATTTATTTATTTATTTATTTATTTATTTATTTATTTATTTATTTATTTTCATTTTATTAATCAAATTTAGATGCTGCCCATCTCACTATATAAGTGACTCTAGGCAGCTTACAAGTAAAAAGAAAGTGATAAAAATCTTTATAATTTAGATTTAGAACTACATCTGTGTCAAATATGTAGGGTTTGGGATAGAAAGATTATCTGGAAACAAGCTATGTTAAAGGCACTAGTTGCTGTTCCTAGTAATAACACAGTTCCTTATGTCCTAGAAATCCTTTTATTTTAAGAATTTTGCAGATCTGCTTCCAGCCAATAGAAGAGACAGTACACAGAAGGCTGGATTGAGCAGAAGAATTTGTGTATAAAAACAGTTCAAAAAAGCAAGTAAACAGTTTGATTTGCTTTTTTTTTAAAGGAAAAATTTAATCCATGAATTGTATATTGGAGAACCATTTACTTAGACAGTGTTAATTTTAAGAAATTAAACTTCAGAAATTGTTTTGAAAACCCACTTTATACTTTTCCTGACTACATCCTGTACAAACAAATCTTCAAAGATGTCATTTTAATTTTTTTCCAACACAATGAAATGCTGGAAAGAAATTACATCAAGGAGCTCAGAACAGCTTTGTCTGTCTGTCTGTCCGCAGGATAAATCTCCCCAAATCAAAAAGAACAGGTCCAGTTTGCTGTGGAGAAGCCAGCAAAAGAAATATCAAGTTAAAAAATGGGCAGGATCCAGCTGGGGGCTGCAGAGAGAATTTCTTCCCCCCCAACTCCTTCCTATGGGAGAGGTGGTTGGACAGCAACTTGGAATGCTGCTGGCTGCTCCATTCTGAAGCCTTCCTCCCTCCTGGTCATGTGACCCTGGGTGGAACTGCTATGAAGGGGTTGGAAAGAATTTCAGAAGCCACGCTCTGCCTGCTTTCCTTGTCTTGTTTCCTCTCCATTATCTTTATGTGTCCAGTCTTGCGGAAGCAACCCATTGATTAAATCGACCTCAATAACAAATGGCCATAGAAAATCTATTGCAATTAAAGCCTATCAAATTCTAAGCAGGAAAGAGAAATCCTGCACGAACTCTTTCAAGCTTGAATTTAGTCCAGCCAAATAAAAATGAAAGGATTTTATATTCCAAGGTATATAATGTTACTTTAATTACAGAAATTAACCCAAGGATTTGGCCATACATCTCCTCTATGACAAACCTTTTTCTAATACTCTGCTGGGAAAGATACTAAATGGAAATGACATCTGCAGGGGAGAATTAGCTGACAAGAAGGGGGTGTATAGGATAACTGTTTCCCTTTCCAATCAGCACATCAATGTACTTTGTGGTGAATTTTATTCTATAACAGAGTTTTTCCAGGTGGGAAAAAATGCCAAGAGGAATTTTTACAAGGGGGGGGGGGAGGAGAGGCTAGGGAAGGGAAAGGGCAGAAATCAAACAGGGAGAAGATAGAATGGGGGGAAAAAAATCTTCCTTCCATTGGGCTACTATTGTTTCCTTAACTGTGACAGGTAAGTAAAGGGAGGATGAAAATCAGTACTGAACCGTGGCAGACAGTGAAGGGTGCATTGCAGGGAAGCCAGGAATTATTCCCTAGCTCAGATTATGAATTGGTGAATAACTGAAGCTCACCTTTTATTTAAGAAGATCCAGGGTTGGAAGAATACTGATAGTATATCTGTTATGTATTTCATGATACATCACTACTAAAGACACTAGAAAGTCTTTCAAAGTAGAGGTCCTTTTTTTTCCTGAAATAATTTGAATGTGTCTGTGTGTCTGTGTCTGTGTGTATAGGCATGTGATAAACAGATATTCTGCCTGTACAAAAACATGATAAAGATTAATCACTGAAAAAAATGAAATGAAGGTGAGAAATGAGCTATGTTCTACAAACTCACATTTCTTTTTATATTTCCTGAACGTGACCCAAACATTTTTAGAGAATGCTTTGGATTTTGTTTCCAAAACATGTGACTGTTCAGAGACAATCTGCAAATGAAATAAGCCAGAAGTTTATAGGTCCTTTGAAAAATATCACCATGTATCTGGAGACAAGTCAAAGTACCAGTTTTATGAAACTGTCAAGAAACAAATGTTGGAAAATCGTTTCCTACACAGAATATGAATGTATCAGAAGACTTTCTTGAAAGTGAACAATGGCCACTAACAACATTCAGAAATGGAGCATAGAACAGGTAAGCTATTTTGAAATAAGAAACCATCTGATCAAGCTAATCTGCACATTTCTATGGCTCCAAAATAAATAGACACGTCATTCACCATGTCTAAATATTGTTTCTACAACATTCTTGTGATAAAGCTTGGAAAGGTTAAATTACTAGTCATTATTTACCTTGACTAATGAATTTCTCCATGTTGTCTTTAAAGGGCTGGATGTGTTCTTCTAATGAAAACTGGCAAACTTTGCCTGCTTCTGTCTCACATGCTGAAAATTAAAGTAACATGAGGATTTGAAATAAAATGTTGCTTTACAATATTCATTATAAAGAAAAGTAGATTTTCATTCAGAGTTTCACTGTGTTGGACCCCAAAAGGCACTTAGGATGAGTTGCAAAGACTGATTTCTCACTGCAAAAGCACATACTTTTGTTGGGTTGGCATAGTTACCGCCACTTTAGTCTGGCTAAAATTTATCAATGACAGCATGGATAAGATTGGTCACCGAAATCTATATAAATGTAATTTTCAATATACAGGAATATAACTGCAATAGCCCCTTATCAGTGCAATGCCACATATCTAGAATAAAAATGCATCATTAGAAAAAAATCAACATGCAGTATCACAGTAGCAATACCCTGTCTGCCCTACAGAGGATACAACTGTTTGCTCTTCTGATGCAAGCCAAACTTTGCATCATCGTGGATGCGTATGGATGCAGAATCCAGTACCCAGTCTGAAAGTCATTTAAATATATTGTCCAAAAAAACAGTACTTTAACATGCAAATAAATACATCTATATGTTGTTATTGTTTTCATTCTCAAAACAAACAAATAAGAAGTATTGAATTCTACTGGCTTTCTCCAAATCCCAGCTAAATAAGATAATGTGTACTGAATAAGTTATCTTTTATGATTAGAGATTTAATACCTGTTGTGAGATTTCAGGAACTCAAAGCAGCATACACAGTACTTCCTTTTCCAATTTTTCCCTAAGCAACCATCCTGTGGGAAATTGTGCTGAGTGACAATAACTGGTCCACTGTGCTTCATGGTCAACAAAGTACCTGAACCTGGGTCTCCCCAGCATAGGTCCAACACCTTCACATCCTACAGTTCTTACTATGATAAACCCATAAAATTCTCTTGTGTACTGTAACTGACATTCACCACTTCAGAGAACAGCAGAATAAAATTATGAAAGACCTTTAAAATGTAGAATGGTCTGCAAAGTTGTGGATAACCTTAACCCTCATGCTGGGATATTGAACTGAATGATGTATTTATCAAGTTACCAAGATCATAGAATGTAGTGGTTATGCTTAATTTTGAAGTTCAAATTAAATGTTAAACAATGAAAGCAAAATCTTTCATTGATCTTAACTATTAAGGGTACACAGTTGTGGGTTTTATTTCACATGTGGTCCTGAAATCTGCTGGCATTGTTCAGATGAAAGCATAGAAAAATTTGACAGAATGGCAATTAAAATAAAGCTTCAAACTTGTAATGACTGGATTTGATCAAGCAGACTGGTAGAAAAAAAATGACAACATTTTGTGGCAAACCCCCATTTTTTTAATTAAAAAAAAATAGCAATTAAGGTAGCTTTTCTCATCCTGGTACCCTCCAGAAATGACTGGGAATTCTGCAAGAAACACTTCCAATAAAAGTTAAAGATGACTGGATTAGAAATATACAGCAGCTTCTTGTTTAATTCCTTAATATTGCTTTTACACAAATATAAAACTAATGACATAGCTTTGAAAATAGAATTGTTTGGGAATCAGACCTAGAGAAGGTGCATTCAAATTAGATTGGGAAATGAATATTCACAAAACAATATTGCTGAAAATCTCACTGAAAGTAGTGAAACTTATCTTTTAATAGGTGAACCTGTTTTGTTTTTTAAGTTAACTAACTTTTGCTGCTTGAATAGATTTAAAAGAAACAGTACATCTGTCTTACAAGGATAAGCTTTTAAAACTTATCCGCAAGGGCAAATCAGGTAGCCAAAACTGTTTTTAAACTTTGTGGAATCCTCTACGTGGCTACAATAATTTACCAAGGCTCAGATCACACACACTTGTAAACATGTTTAACAACCCTACCATGTAAATTCTATTGACCTCAATGAGACCATTCATGGTTAGCAAGTCTAGTGTTTATAGGCACTGTGTCTAAACAAACGTGATGTTAGGTCAATTACACAGTAAGTGCGGGAGCTGTGGTGCAATATAAACTTGTTTTGATCGCTTATGTGGTCTCGCTGACTTCTGTTGTTTCTTCAGAGAAAACCAGTCTGGTTTCTGACTTCAACAGTAGAAAATAGAAAACAAAATCTACATGTTTAGAGTAAAGAATGAACCATTGCCAGTCAAAATGGGGTGATTTTATTCTCTTTAACGTGCTCAAAGCCTTGGATACAAGGGGGAAAAAATCATTACTTAGAATTGTGCATAAAGCAGATTCAAGATCTTGTGGTGTGTGTGTATGTGTAGGTATGACCTGAGACATTTTGGCTCCTGAAGTATAGGAGAAAATAGTGATATTATTATTAACAACAATTAATTAATTAGATTCACTATTTTTTATTATATCAGTCCCCATCTTCTCTCTTGCCCAACTGCACACACAATAACTGGACTCAGTTTAATCTTATGACATCATAAGGGATGTGGCATCCGCAGCATTGTTTTCCAGCTCTCTCTTCGTGCATCCTAGCATTCCTTTCTTTCCTCCAACCCACAGACACATACAGATATATATCTGGATCCCAGATTTGCTGCTGCTGCTAACAATTTGCTATTTGCATGACAAAATAGCATGGCGTGTCCGAAAGGACATGTCCTCTTTCCTGTCCTCTTTCTCCATACATATTCTTCGGAACAGCTTGTTTCCAAACTTCTGGGCAAATATGAAATGTCCAATATGCATCATATAATTTGTCAAACAGGCAAAAACAAACAACAACAACCAAGACACAGTAAATTAAAATATAGTTTGGGGTCAAATATTGAAGATTGAAAATGTTATGAAGTTCAGCCAAACTTTTTTTAAACTGAAATTATAATATTGAATCTCAATTACTACCCCTCTGGAAAATACGTTAAAACTGATTTATTTTACAAATTCAGTATATGACTTTGCCCTATAATTTAAAAATGGAGGGGTATGTGTGTTCTGAACATATCCTATTTGCTGTTCTGAACATTCTTCCAGACTAATTTTTATTTATAACAGACACATGCATTTTACAACATTCTTTACAAGAGAGTTCTCATCTGATCTGGCTATCCCACAACCATACAGAAGTGGCAAAAGTTGGGAACTTTAAAGAGAGCTTGGAATGTAACATAAGAAGGGGAAATCACATTTAACTGTGAGTGACATACCTGAAGAGAAAGACCTCTTCTTCTTCTAGTCACTTGTCCTGGGGAAGCGTTGTTCTGACTTAGGCTAATGACTGTTGGGGCTTCATAAACTTCTCCCAGAAGCTCCTTGTTTGGAGTTTTAAGGATAGTAAGACATGACTCAGAGACTGAATGAAATCTTGCCTTTCTTTTACATATGGTTCCAGTTTAGAAGTCTGGATACAGCAGTGTTTCAGGCAATTAACCCTTTCAGCTGTGTTTGCAAACATTACTGCTGTCTGCGGATGAGGCAGGGATGATTAGCTGGCCACAAGAGTGCTCTATGTGGCAATCCAAAGAGATGGTTGAGCAGCAGTCATGCAAACCACTGAAGACTTGAATAGCCTCATTACCTTAAAGTGAATCACACCCAAAGCAGCAGTTCTTGTGGGCTGCTGTTCATCACTTTACAGGAGCACAGCCTTGGAGTGTTTTTACATGTCAGCTCTGCAACCTAGGTCTAAGTGGCATAGGATCAGCATGGCATGAAGGTTCCTAAGAGTGATTCTGCACTGCCCTCTATTGGAGTTACTGACTTGGGTCAGCCAGTAGGTTCGTTTTGTATTCCTTTAGCTGATGGACCATCTGACATGCCACTTCTCAGTTGAATAATTTCCCCCTTAAAACCTACACATGTACATGCACAGTCATTAATCACACACATACAAACACACAAGTTGCTATTCAGAGCAAAATATAAGATAGGCATATATAGAGAATAACTGTGGAAAGTGTACTAAGAAAAATGAAAATGATTTACATATGCAGGTTACATCAAAATGTTATGTTAAGGTGACAGAGCATTAAAAGCGAAGGCTCAAACAAAATTATGGAATTTTCTGTAGGGACTTATGATAGGTTATGTTTTAACCTTGATACTTCAATAGTACACTGTTCCTTAATTTGACTGTGAACTAGAGCAATCATATAGTTCCTTGTGAAGTAGATCTGAGTAATTGAAAAAACAGTACGGCATGCTCTAGTGTAGTTATGTAATTATATCACTGAATAAAACAGAATGTATGCGGAATGTATTAAGATTGTGTCTTTCTCCATATTTCTAGAATTCATATTTTCTGATCTCTTAAGCTTAAAGTTACATAGAATCACATAGATGGATGAAAGCAGTCTCTGTAGACTCAAATCTGGAGTTTGATACAGATGGTGTTTCACTTACTGAACCGTGGCTAAACTGAGCCTGTTTGTTTCAGTTGTCTAATAATCTAGGGCAGAGACTGGCTTTCTCTAGCACTGGATACCATCACACTGTGCCTCAACAGAATACCTCTTCCCACCAGTGTTACAAGGTTTCAAGTTTTTTTAAAAGTTATTTTCTACCTGGGCTGTTAACGGAGGGTTTAGCAGGTGTTTACCACCAAGGGTGGCACACTGCAGATGCCTCATCTAAAGCTTCCACCACTTTATGCTATGATTTAAATAGCATAAAAACATTTTTCTGCAAAACATCACCTATATTGCTTACTGTGATCCAATAACTGTATACTTTCAAGTTCTAACTAGTTAAATTATAAATAAAGTCCTTCCTCATTGATACTGAAGTTTTTATTTGATTTTTTTTGTTTTTGGTGCCTCCGAGTCAGTGTTGACTCCTGGCAACTGCCTGGACAAGTCTCTGCAGTTTTCTTGCCAAGATTTTTCAGAAGTGGTTTGCCATTGCCTCCTTCCCAAGGCTGAGAGTGAGTGACTGGCCCAAGGTCACCCAGCTGCCTTTGGGCCTAAGGTGGGCAGGTCTAGGATTCATGGCCTCCCAGTTTCTAGCCCAGTGCCTTAACCACTACACCAGACTGGTTCTTCTTTCTTTCTTTGCTTATTTATCCTTTAAAAAAAGCAGA